AAGTCATCAATTATTTTATTAGTATCTGCTATTTTATAATTTAAAACACTTTGTTGAATTTGTATTACATCAGCTATATCATCTTTAGTTGAAGAAATCAATATTTCAGTTTTAATCTAATAATTGAGAATCATCTTATCAGTTATATTTTCCCATGCATCTGCTAAGTAATCAATAGCTTCCTTAATATTGACTTTCTCTTTATTTATATTTTTATCTTCTTCAAAAAGCTTTAAAATATGATAGCAATAGTTTCGTTTATAATAAGCTTTAAAACTTTTAATAATTTTAGTGTCAAGTTATTGTAAATGACTTGTAGTATTGGATGGTAGAAAAACCTCTTCAATATGAGTTAGATTAAGCTGAGAAACATCACTATTTCTACTATTATTATTATTATAGTGTTCTTTTAAGTATTTTAAGTAAAGTTAGTAAAATTTTTAAAAAATTTTATTAATTTAATATTAAAATATACCACATGTTAGTCTTAGAACTCTTGATCAATTTTTATTAGAATTTTCACATTGGTCATCATTATTATCATTAGAATCAGAATCCATTAGAGCTCTGAACAGATCAGTTCAGGTCAGGTTAATCAAGTTACCTGAACTAAGAAGACCAGGTCAGGTCAAACAAAAATCCAACCTGATTTAAATTTTCATTTGACTTGACCTGACCTGACCTAATCTAATCTAATTTGATCAAATTATTTAAATTATTTAATAAACAATATATTATATTTGATTCAATTTAAAACTCTAATTTATTTTGTTATTTTTCTTTTGCTTTTTCTGTAAAAAAAATTGTATGCGAAATAATATGGAAATTTTTAATTTGATGATTAATTACAATTGCATAATTAATTACAATTGCATGATTAATTATAATTATACTGAAAATCAATTTTCCAATCTTTTTTTTTTCTTTTTTTAACAAAAAAAACACTTTTATTTTATTTAACATAATCTTTAAAAAACAACCTTATTTTTTAAATACTTAAACTTATAAGAACTCTTACTAAATGTAATTAATTCGTGATCTGTATAACAATCGGAGAAAATCAGTAATTTTAATTAATGTCGATCAGGGATAATTATATATATTATTTTATATATGAAATAAAAAAATGAAAGAATCTCTCTTGCCATACCCAACTGTATTAATTAACCACTGTTCTAAATGAGTAACCGTAAAGACTATGATATTTCCTTAATTTCAGTAGGAGTTATTGATGCAGAATTGCATTTTGGACTCTTTTCATACAATTGGTGGATAACTTGTAATAAGAAAATGGAATTTTTAGTTTCAATTCATTTGCAAATGAAGACAATGACCTTTTTAAAAGGGTATAATTTTGTTATAACAGTTGTAAAAGGTAATAAAGAACATTCTAAATGCCCAGGATATCTTTGTGACTGTAGAGAATTTTATACTGAGGAACCAAGCAATTCTAGTACGAATGCAATATCTACCGTCTATCAGAAAATGTTTTGCAATAAAACCAGATTTTCTGGTCCCCAAATAATGGGATTTGAGAAACCAGCTATCTATGAAAATTACTAGAAGGAGTTCTATTTCGTCTATATTTTGTTGACCTTGAGTTAGTACATGTTTTTGTATTTGGAATTGCAAAATCTAAGAATAATGAATAGGAATGTGCTAGAGTTGGGTTTAAATCAAGTTTTACATTTCAATTGGAAAAAGAACATTGTTTATTTATTTAAGAATTTGAAGAAGAATTATGTAAAGTAACTATTATACAAAAAATACAAATTGAAAAAATATATTATGAAAGTACACCTGATTTAGTGTGGAAAAATTTTTGGTGAACAAAAATGAACTGCTAAATTGTTTGAATTAATAAAACTTACTGGGAGAACATTGTATAGAATTGAAAATCATTTGACATAAAAATTGATCTATAATGTATCTTCTTACTCATTAAGTAAATGGAATAATAATATTATAGAAAAAGTTTTTTTGTATCATCTTAAATGACGAACTAGTATTCATGTAGATTGGTGCAATTTTTTAAGAAAGTGGCAGAAGCAGGAAATAATAATTGAATTATATAGCAATCTAAAACTGTTATATCATACAAATTATCAATTAAGTGAACATGAATTAAATGCATGGAAAGTAATGCTTTATAATATAGGATATCATAATATTATGTTTTTAAAACAGAAATCAAAGGTAAAAAAAAAATAAAAAAATTATTTCAAAATAAAAAAATTTCTAATTAAAATGATTTATTGTATTTTAGTACGAATTTTGGACTAGATCACCACATTCTACTATCGAACAGAATGCATTGAAACAATTATATGAACTTGGATTTTTATTAGACCATCCATTAGATTTTTATAATTCATCTGAAAAGTTTTGGAATTGTTTTCAAAAAAGTTTACTAATCAATAAAAAAGGAGTTGATGAAAAGCAACAGATACTATCTATAATAGCAGATGATTTTAAGTATGATGATTTGCAAAAACAATTATCAGTAATTACTAATAATAATAATTAGTATTGATTTTCATAATTATCACAATTATTACTAATTATTTTTATATCAGGTTTCAAATGATTTGATATCAAGAGTACGTAAACACTATCATTTATATGGACCTGGTAATTCTTCAATGAAAAAACCTTCTTTTACACGTGAAAAGCTATCTATTAAAAAACTAGAAGAATTTAAAAATTTTATTAATGACAAAGCACATGTAATTATGAGTTCGTATAAAACAGATAATAAGACTGGTGCATCAGTTAAATACCTTCATGATACAAAACAAACCCTTTGGGAAAAATTTCATATTGAATTTCCTAATAGAATTTGTCAAACAACTTTTATGACTAAATTACAAGGAAATGAATATATATATAAAGAAGATCTAGGTGGTCTTTGTTCAATATGTAGTCATTATGGATATGAGATATTTGATGATATAAGAAAACTTATTGAAAATAAAATTATAGACATTTTAAAAAAGGTAAAACATAACCAATAAAGTTATTTTTATATACATTTTTTTGATAACAAATTATTTATTATTTTTAGAAACAATTTCTTGATAATTTGGAAAAATTACAATGATTTTTAAAGCGAGATTATGAAAAAAAATCTAATCATCAGTGATAAAGGGACAACAAAGCATAATTCATGTATTAGTTATTGTTTACTATAGGCATTTGGAATTTGTGAAGAACAACATACATATGCATTCCAAGAATGTGCAAAATTATTTACCTTTTTTAAATGTCTTAAAATTCAGCTTTCTGCAGACTTGCATGAAGATCTTGATGAATATCAGAATCACCTATTATATTTTTTCACTCATCAAGCCCATAAAGTCTATTTGAACGCTTAATTCAATACTAATCTACTTGAATTAGATGAAAATGGAGCTGTATTAGTCATTGATTACAAAATGAAAGTACTTCTGAAAAGCTCTAGAGAAACAAAAGCAGAATTCTTTGGAAAAAAAGGCTAGACACTGCATTCAATTCTCATGTATACTAAAAAACTAGAATCTCAAAAACTTGAAATTCATGCATATGATCATTGGTCAATAAATGCATGTCAAGACTCCTGATTTACAGCTTCCTCACTTCATGCTGTGATTAAATCATTAGAAAATAAACCAAAGTAGATCATAATCATTTCGGATAATGGTTCACATTATCATAATGCAGATTTGATGATGATATTAAGACATTGGTTAGAATAGTATCAAATAAATATAAAGAAATAAATATTTCTGAAAGCAGGAAGGCGAAAACAACAATTAATAGCCACCATGTCTAAGTATAAAAAAAAATATTTTACCTATATTATTTGTTATAAGCATCTAATTATAATTTCAAATTTTCAATAGATCACTCATGCAATTAAACGTCATGTACGTCTTGGATTAGATATAATAGAAGGAACTGAAATTGAAACTGCAATTAGAGATATCCAAGGGACATCTGTTACACATTTAGAGTTAGATCGAACAAAAGGTAAATCTAAAATCAAGAAATAAACATAAATAAATATCTGATATTGATCTATTTTATTGTTTAGACCGTAAGAAAGCAAAAAATACACTTCCTGATAATTCTAATTTATTTGAATGGACTTGGCCAGAAGAAGGATCAATGAAAGGTTATATTCTTGGTCGAGAAATTCCTAATATTGGAGAATGAACAAAGTTTTCACTAGCACAAATAGCTAATTTGCAAAAAAACAATATTGAACTTCCAAAACCTACGGTATCAGCTCATACGAGTCCAAAGAGTCAATGGATTATTGCTATGCCAAATACATCAGATAACAAAATATTTATCTTACTACCTTTATCATCATTCACCTTTACTCTATTATCCTATTCCTTATTCTGTTACCTTCATCATCATTCACATTTATCCTATTATCCTATTCCTTATTCTGTTACCTTCATCATCATCTGCCTCTACCCTATTATTATATTTCTTATTCTGTTACCTTCATCATTATCCGCCTTTACCCTTCTTATTCTGTTAATTTCATCATCATCCACCTTTACCTTATTATCTTATTTCTTATTCTGTTACCTTCATAATAATATACCCTTATTCTACCACCTTTATAACAATTATTCACCCTTATCTTCTATTTCATTCATCCAATTCTATTTCTTATTCTATTACCTTCGTTATCAACCACTCTCATCTTACTACCTTTATCATCTAACTATTCTATCCTCATCACTTTCTATATATTATATCTAATTACTGCTTTATTTTCAATATTTTCAATTTAGATATTGATCCTAGAAGATTGACAAGAGAATAACTATTATTAGAACTGACAAAACAAAAAATAAATGTTAACAAAACTGCTAAAAGAGATGAGTTGATTAAAGAATTAGAACTTGCCTTAACCAACAATATAGAAATAATACAAGGTAAAGAAAAAAAATTATAAAAAATTTCAAAAAACGTTACTAATCTATTTTTTATTTTATTCAAAAATGCTTCAGAAGAAAAAGAAGAAACAAATATTATATGGTAAATAAATTTGTTTGAAAATGTATAATAGCAATTCAAGTAACTTACCTTTTCAATAAGAATTCCTTATAAGATTTTCCTTTGGAATCTGGATAAGCACTAAAAAGCAAACAAAAATATGGTAAGAGAGGAGGTGGAAAGCGTATTTCTAAAAGAGCATGGAAATTTTTAGAGAAATACTTTTTAAAAGGTGATGTTGATAAAAGTAAAAGATACACTACTGCTACCATGTTAAAAAGGAAAGTTGAGGAAGGAGAACTGGGTGAAGACGAGGTTCCAAAACTACAAACTATCCATAGCTGGATTTTACGTTATTCCGCACAGCATCGTCAAAAAATGGCAGAAATGTCTATTAATAAAATGTAAAATAACATGAAATAATGAATAAAAATGATTTTTATAATAAGTATATCAAAAAATTTGAAAGAAATGTAAATTTGAAATTTTACATTATTGAAATTGAATACTCAGATTAGCTCAGAATCTGACTTCCTTTCAACGTAGAGGTGCGAAAAAATGTCTGAAAAAAAAATAAATGAATACTGCAAAAAATACAGATTATGATATCATAAAAGGATCAGGAAAACTTCTAATAGAGGTCACCATCAAAATTTAGGAAAATCATATGATCTCGAACCACATGATTTTACTAATTATGCAAATCAAAATGGCGGTAAGTATAAATGATTTAAAGATATTTGAATCATAAAATTATGGTAAGATGTTTTACTAATTTTTATTAGAATTTTCATTAGTACTATATAGTTTTATTACATTATTAAAGATTAGAAAAAATATGAATTTCATATCAAAAAATAAAACAATATTAGTTTGGAAAAATTCTTGCAAGATCTAATTTCATTTTTGGTGTTTTAAAATGCTGAAAAATCTTCAAACTTTCTTTTGTCAAAGTAAAAAAAGAACCTTGGAAATTAAAAGGAGAAGAATTAAAATAATATAAAACTTCTTTAGCCAAAATATAACCAACTAGTTTTCCTCCTGCCTCACATGCATTTGTCCAAAGATTATTGTAAATATTCAAATAAATATTAATTGAAAGATATGATAAGTGATCCAAAAAATTTGCTTTTGCTACCCAAGAATGTCATTGACCTTGTTTTTCATACATTGAGATAATTTGAGCAATACAAAGTTTTTTGTCTGAATAAATGATTAAATATTCACCCGAAATT